CCTGGGCACTATGTGATAAGCGGGACTTTCAGCCCCGCTTATACCCAACTGCCCAGGAAATAACTATTACAAATCACCGGTAACGCCAGTCTAATTTCACGCAATTAGTGAAAATAACAAATAAATATTTATTATTGTCACATGATTTGTATCACTTGCAGAAATAAGTAAATCCCATATTAGCATCAGGCCGGCCTTGAGCCGTGCCTGCACAAAATTGCCAGGCACAACATGGGGCACAGGCACAAACGTAGCAGGCACTGAGTGCCTATGAAAGTTCTTGGTCAAATTTTTGTATTTGTGCCCTGCCAAACTTTTATGCCAGTGGACATGTCCGTGCCAAATTTTTGTGTCTGTACTTATGCCCATGCCTAAGATTTTGCGCCTTGCCTATGCTTTTTGTGCCCGGCTTGCAGATCCCTACATACCGATACGTTCAAATTTTTTTTCTTTAACGTTAAACGTTAAACCGAATTTTTGAATAACCCAATTAGGTATATAGATATTTATTAAATGTGGCTTGTTATTATGCTCTTGCCTCATAAAGTTAACATATGGATAACTCATATTATTTGATAATAGAAATGGAAATTGTCTTTAATTTGATAAACTCAACAATAAGTCTTAACATATCCCAAATTTCGTGTGATAAATTTGAATTATTAAATTCTGGTTCCAAACTCTAATCGTAGTCGTAGTCAAGATCTTTTCGATCAATTCTTTTAACCAATCGGATCGTTCGGTAACCCATTCGAATGAGATGATTAAGAAATACTTAACTAAATTAACGTTCTTATCACTATATATTTGTTCTTATCACTATATATTTGCAAAAAACTTTAATTGGGTGACTTGCTAAATGTGAATAATAAAGTTGTTTAAATTTAGTTAACGTTAATGATGAACAATGTCTGTATCCGGTATTGATTATGACTTTTTTTACCGTTACGTAATATTTTGAAGTGTTTATGTATTAATTTTCCAGGATTAAAAGTGATTCGGATTTAATAGGTGATATATATATGACTTATTTTACGATTTTTAACGTTAAGTGTTCATGATACAAACTTTTCTTCTCATGTAACATTAAAACAAGAGAAAATGTATGAAGCCAATTTTTTACACACTGGACTGCCCGTACATTCTACTGACCAAGATTTATCAAGGTGTGATCCTTACCTCGAAGACTTTTTAAATCCAAATGGCATGAATAATAACGGCCCCTCTATCGGCCAATTACCGTCAACTACTTTATATGAGTTTGAGCAGTTTGCTGCTCAAATTGCAGCTTTAGCAGCCAACAACCATATAACTGCTGCTAATTCATTTGACGCTTTCCAGTACACTTTTCCTCAATCCTCAAGAAACAACATATTCACTGAACCTTTTTTCAACACATCGAATTCTTATACTATTCCTAAAGATGATTGTCCTATAGCGACTCCTCCTCCTCAAAATTTCCCTTCCATGCAGGGTTTTGATGTTTCTCCAACTAGCACATTAAACGAGTTAAGTCCTTGCTCTTCGATAGAAGAGTCGTTTGATCAGCAAATCAATGCTAAAGTTGATCCTTCAATGTCTCAATCTGAAAACATGAATAAACGTGTTTCAGTGGAACATGAATCTAATTTATCTGGTAGATCTTTAAAAAAGAAACGAAAAAGTACAGATGGAATTTCTAAATCCATAACGAAATCATTAGATGGTTTTAAATCCTCTGCAACTAGATCTTATACCAAGAATGAACCAATTTCCGAAAATCACTCCTCATATAATGAAGGAACTACTTGCATTGATGGGTTAAGTATGGGTTCAAGTATACCAAGCATAGCCGCTCAAAACTCTTTGATGGTTAGCGCCGATATACCTCCCAATTATGTTGATGTATTTAGTCAACCTTCTTGGCCTGAAACTGCAAACCAGAGCTTTATACCAAATATGATTAATTCAAGCAGAATTACAGGTGCGCCTTTCTAGATTTTGTTCATATTAAAGTTCCATTACATTATACGTATTGATGTCGTATAATTTGTAAGTAACGTTCATTGTTCATTTTTCTTATTTAGATACGACTCAATTTCATAGTATTCCAATGCTTCCTTCATCACGTGATGCAGCGAATTCTACTGCAAAGGTCGCTATAACGCGACTCAAACCTTCAACTTCAACTATTAATTCATTGCCTCATTCCCAGATGCAATCAAATAAACAGCAAAAGAAAGTTGCTCATAACGCAATCGAGCGCAGGTATAGAAATAACATAAATGATCGCATAAACGAACTCAAAAATGTGGTTCCTGCTCTTTGTCATTTAAAGAATAAGGAATGTAAAGAAGAAGAAGAAGATAATGAAGTAGACGGCATCCCAGCCGCTACAAAATTGAATAAAGCTACTATTTTAAGAAAATCAACCGAATATATTACATATTTGAAGAACAATAACAAAAAAATCAAGAACGAGAATGAAGTATTAAGAAAGATGATTGAAGCTCTTCCAGGTGGTGCTGAGCTATATAACGCTTATAATATCAAAAAAATGGCTGTTGAAAGTGTTGAGACTCCATCGGATACATCTGAAGATCCCGATTCTCCTCCTGGTATTCCTTCTAACCATGAAGAATTTAATGATTATCTTCCACCAACTCCGCCATCTGGAAACACTGGTTCAAGAGCAATGATGGCTTTATTCATGTGTATGACATTTTTCACGTCATCAGGCTACGATCAGTATATATCCCATCATCATAATGAAGGCCGTGTTATGGCTAACAATGGATTACCAATCAATACCAAGTCCGAAATTCCAAAAGGAACTTACAATCCCAATGACGGTACAATAACTATTAATATTTGGTAAGTTTATATTCGTATATTGTTTTTATACATATATATATATATATATATTTATATTTATATGTATATTAATGGTATAACATGTATATATTACATTATAAATAGGTATTTTACCAGAATTTTCGCCTTCCTTATGTGCCTGGCATATATTCTTCGACCATCCTTATTTTCAAGCCAACCACGTATTGTTCGTAAATCAAAGTCAGTTATCATCTCTGTTTTAACGGCTAAAACTAAAGATGCAACTGCACTCTATTCGTCTCTTTCACGCCTTTCATATCGCTCACCGATGAATACATTTGAGCTTTTAGTTGGCCTTTTTACTGAATTTTTAAAATTCATCTCAAGAAGACTTTTAGGATGGGAAATTCTTGGCAGCTTTGCTAATATAGACTTGGATGAGAGACTGTGGGAAGTTGGGTTATGGGGCCGACTTGGTGAAGTTGAATTATGTGGTGGTAAATAATTTATAATTTAAATTATTACTTTTATAAATTAAGTATTCATTCACTTATAAATTTTTAATCAACATTTTATGCTTTCCAGGAAATAAAAAAGCAAGTCGTCTTTCAATTTTATACACATGTCTTCGAACAATCAATTTGTTGGAGCATCCTTACACGATACAGAAAAATTTGTACATTAGCTCCTCTCGTATATATGCGAACGCTGCAATACAATTTTACATAGGCCTTCATTCTATCCCCTTTTTATCACGAAAAATTGCGTCTTCCTTTTGGAAATTGGCTATTAAAGGAAAAAGAAGTAGTGGCCCTGAAGAGAAATGGTTTGAAATCGCTCTTATCTGTGACTCAAAAAGTAATATGTGGAAAGTTGTAGTCAACAAGATCGGCGACTACGCTCTTCATTCACCAAAAAAAAATGATGAACCCATTTCAATCATGAGAAATACTACTATACCGCTTATTCATGTTTCAGACGCGCAAGCTTTTATTCACCTTAAAGAAACCTTTTCTAACTTCGTTTCTATGCGATATGGTAATAAAAAGAATGCAAAGAAAAGTAAATTCACTTTTGCTGAGTTACTTAGTGTCACTACACCGACATCTCTGACACACTGGTACGCTTTGGTTGGATGTGCCGTTCAGGCTTTTTCAGAAGGAAAACATTCTCCTGGTGAAAAGTTCGTAACTAAGTTAAGGGAAGAATTTCAAAAAACGGACAACAGCTTAAACAAGCAGATTGTTGCTATGGGTTTACTTTCTTATATTCTTCTAATATATGGTAAAGTTGAGGCTTCCGTTCGTTGCGCCGATAAAGCTAGTACTGCTGTATCTTTACGAAGGAAAGAAGAAAAAACAGGCGTTGTTGAAGATGGTTCATCAGATAAGGATTCAGAAGTTCGAAAAATAGAGCACGATGTTCACACTCTTGCAGAATTTTGCGTTGGTTGGATTGTTTTAGAAGCAAGAATAATCGGATGGAAGAAAATTGAGGGTCTTTCATTGGAAAATAAAGATGAAGTGTTAACTGGTATTCTTGATGTTGAGGCTCGTCTGAAACCTTCTCTTGATAGTTGGATACGTTATTTACGTCGTTTATCAAAAGCTGAAGTGTTTAACACAATTCCAAAATCTCGTGAAGAATTTATAAAGAACCTTGAGACTCTTGGAAGAATTGTGGGCGGAATAGATGATAGTATTGACTTGATAAATTGTTTTGATGACAATTTTATTAATGAGGGAAATTGCGCCAATCAAAATGATGATAATAGGGCCGTAAGGGCTTGGAATGCTCTAAAGGCAATGTAAATATTGGTAATTTTGTTACTTCTGATACACGGACCTGATACAATTGAAATTAAATCCTATAACTCAAATTTTTACATATTAATAAATAATTAAAAATATATATCTGAGTATATATAAAATATATTTCTAAAAAAAAATT